AAGCACTAAATAATCACAGAAGAGAGAGTTATAACTAGTTCCACTGAACTTGAACTCCTAGTTTTCCAGTGAGACACTTTAATTTAAACCATAGGATATACATGTATACGAGGCTTTTATTCAAAAAACCATAAATAATATGAAATAAAACGTCATTCTTCATATCTTTTGACGTATTTCCGTTCAAAACACTATCCATACTGTCACTATCAATGCAATTGTTTGTCCTTGAAACACTTCAATCAATATATTACCAAGGAGTAAGTTTCCTCTAAAAAGGAAATCTGTTATAATTTAAGGTCATACATGTAGATGGGTAACCTCACTATAGACAGGGGTCGCTCCTAGATCGACAGGAAGTCTATATAAGGTCAGGTCAGACCATGGTTTGATTAGTACGTCCGTATATTTTAGATCTGTTCGATGCACTGAAAGAACATCTTTTGTGGAAGTGAATGCGGTTTCAGCACTTGATAATTCGTAATGCTATTTATAAGTGTTTATAAGTATGGTATGGTATCCTGATACATGTATGTCCACGTAGTTAACTATTGCACCATCAAGTCATCGACCCATAGTCGATGGTGCTATAACGATGACACGATGGTGCAATGACGATGACGTGATCATAACGCAGTGACAATGATGCAATGGAACTATAATTAATGTCATGACGATGTGCGATATTGAGTATCGCTTCTCGTCACTGCGCCATCATCATTGTATCGTCGCGCAATCGCATCATCGTCATCGCATCATCATCATCACTGCGATATCGCACCATATTGTCATCGTAATGTACATGCACCATCGACCCAAGCATCGATAGTCAGGCCCGTAGGAAGCAATTTCACTTTGAGGGGGCACAACCATACATTTCAACTTCCAAAATTCCTTGACAAGCAAAAAAAAAAAAAAAAAAAAGTCATCAGACGTTATTATTGAGGGGGCACAAGCACATAGCTCTTTTTTTAAAATAGTAATTTATATATCGGAAAAATTATTTGGGGGGGGCACGCCCCCCCCCCCCGGTGCCCCCTCCCCCCGGTTCCTACGGCCATGATAGTGAATTACGTTTCTTAATCCTGATTCCATATTAAAGGAAACATTTATGTCGATGATAGTTTTAAAAAAAAAATCACCTAACAACCCTGCGTTTTTAAATAAAAAGTTACATGTACATGTTTGAAAAAAATAGAAAACAGGAGCTCCTACACATTAGTGTTTAAAGCTATATATGGCGTATCTGAGCTAAAAAAAAATAATAAAATAAAAATACGAGATTGAATGTAGATGAACATGATATTTGTTATTTACGTTCAAATTAAAATTTTCACCGATTTTTAATTTGAATAACACCACGTTTCTATAGTTAAATTAACTTAAAATTGTATCTGATATTTGAAAGCCGAGTCGGTAAATAAATCGGTTATTGTTTTAAATTTCTAATATCTATGAAACGCAATTGATTTAAATTGTGTAATTTACAGGAAAGTCCTATCTTTATATAAAGAAATAAAACAAATAGGAAGATCTTTTTAATTTTAGTGAGTCAAAACTTATCAAAAATACGCCATATATGACTTTATAGGTGTCTTCTATGATTTGTGTCTTCGACAGAGTTTCCGGTGGTCGGGGCTAGAACTGACACCTATTTCCACTCATCTTATCCCCAGCCATCTGACAAAAGGACGGTGTAACCCTCCCCCCCCCCCCAATAGTATTTTTATATACCGTAGAGAGCCAATCTCTAAAACTTAAAAAAAAAAAAAATGGAAAAAAGACATCAGATATCGATCGGAATACAGGTATGATAGCCTAAGTTCTGTACAATCTCTCAAAACAGCGTAGCTAAAATTATGAAAAGAAACAACTTGAAAAATAATATAGAAATTAAAAATAATTCCATAATGACTTCGGAGCTCTTATAAATTTTGAAATGTTTTTAGAACTGTTTATCGGATAATAGGAATAATAAACAATAATATAAGCAATAAATACTAATGCTTGGTTTATTCAAAAATTGATATTGTGGATTAACTGTTACAGTAACGTTAACATTTTTTGTAGACAGCGCGTCCCGAAAATTTGACCATTTTTTTTCTTTGAGAGAGAGGGGGGAGAGTGGGAGAGAGAAGCCACTTATCTGCGTTGAAGTATTTGACCGCTTATCGCTCGAATAAAAACTTTTATTTCTTTCTCAGCACGTCTGCATATGTTCCATCCTACTACCACATTGCAAATCGATCTTGCGGAACAAAAGAATCAACATCTTCTCGTCGTGTTTCGTATCTGTTACTCAATTTAACGTCCTCGTCGATTTCCTGGAAATTGTCATGTTTATTTAAGTTTAACGTTAAACACAGGTGGGTTTTCAGAGAAAATTCAGATATACGCTCAATAAAGCACTGTCTATTTCGAAAGAATTTTTAAACAAACACGTGCACGCTCAAAAAAGACGAATTTTTATGATTTCTTGTTGGATGGCACATGAAGATAGGCTTATTCTTTGTTTTAGAATCAACTTGAAAAACAAGAGGCCCATGGGCCACATCGCTCACCTGAGCACTTTGGCTAGGAAAAAGCAGAAATCACTTCAGTATTGAAAAGTTTAAATATGATAGTGGTTCGGGTGGGGGGGGGGGGGGGGGTATGATTTGAACTAACTTGAATCTGCACTCCCTAAGATTGATATTGAAGTAATATGACATATAATGGCTATGCTGTTCTTAAGAATAAAATTTTTATTGATATATCCTTTGTATTCCTTTCTATAACTATGATCCCCTGTTATGGCCCCTCAATACTCCTGGGGGTCATGATCTAAAAAAAAAAATAATGAATTTACATTACCTGAGATGCTTTAATATTATTATGTTCGATCATGATTTTGCTGTTCTTGAGAATAAGATTTTTCCTATGTTCAACTTTGATCATCCATTGTGGCCCCACCCTACCCCCGGAGGTCATGATTTGAATAAAATTAACTTGATTCTACACTACTGAGAATGCTTCCATATACACAAGTAAATATGACTGATCATATCTTTGCTGTTCTTGAGAAGAAGAATTTTATAGATTTCTCCTATGTATTCCTATTCCTGTAAAACTATGATCGTCCACTATGGCCCTACCCTATCTCAGGGGTCACGATTTGAACATACTTGAATCTACACTGCCTGGGGTTGCTCCCATACCACTATAACCAAACATCACTTTGTTGTTCTTGAGAATGAGATTTTTAAATATTTTTCCTACGTAAAACTTTGATCGCCTACTGTAGCCCCAACCTACTCCTGGGGGTCATGATTTGAACAAACTTGAATCTACACTACCTGTACCTGGGGATGCTTCCATATAAATATGTCCATCATGGTTTTGCTGTTCTTGAGAAGAAGATTTTTAAAGATTTTCCCACTGTATTCCTATGTAAAAATTTGATCGCCCATTGTGGCCCCACCCTATCCCCGGGGGCCATGATTTGAACATATATGAACCAACATTACCTCACGATGATTCCACGTCAGTTTCATAATTATTTTCTAGCACTGTTGTTCTTGAGAGGAAGATTTCAAATGATGCCATTAATTTTTCACGAATTCGTAATTATCTCTCCTTGGACGAAGGAATGCGTGGTCCTTCATTTAAACAAACTTGCATCCCCTGTACCCACGGATACTTTGTGGCAATTAAGTTGAAATTGGCCCAGTGGTTCTTGAGAAGATGAAAATGTGAAAAGTTTACAACGACAACGACGATAGACAACGGACAAATTTCGATCAGAAAAAACTCACTGGAGCCTTTTGGCTCAGGTGAGCTAACAATCCCTTGAAAAACTTTCCAGATTTTTTTTTCAATCAAGCACAAGTGCATCAAATGAATGTGAAACATTTGGTAAATGTAACTAGAAGTTGGATACCAAAACAACAAGATTTTTCTATTGTAGATTTATCAAGTTTTTTTTTAAATAAACAGTGGAACGACTTTATCTTTACGGGTCCCCAGAAAGACGCGACAAAATTTATAGTGTCGCCGTAGTCGTATTTGTCAATCAATATCTCTAAAATAAGGTCAGAAACCTACTGATATAACTGCTTTAAGATATGTTGGGCATACTAAATTAGAAATATTCAAAATATGATAAAAATTGAATGACAAGTATTTTTTCAGCTCAAGGTCCTTCTTCCCCTTAAAACTTTAATTGAATCCGGCGTCCTTTGGATTTATCAAATCTGGGTAGTATATTGTGAACAGAAACTGTCTGTTGTCTGTTTTTTTTTTTTTCATTTTTGTACCATTACTTTTAAAAACAAATTAAATATTTTCTGCGATGTATTATTAATTCTGGGAAGGGGTGCTGAAAATCTAGTGAGACAGTTGCCTCATTGTCACAGTGGAAGCTACGTCCATGTCAGGTATAATAAAAGGCATTAAAAACGTGATAACTCCATTTTATCAGTATTCTCTACAATTCCAAATTATCTGTAGCGAGAGGAAGTGAAGTTTCCTTTTAACAAAATTTTAAGAATCAGCTTAGAAAATTTCCTTTCAAACAATTTCGACCTGGAGGTCAATCACGTCAGTCAAAACAGTTAACATGCTATTGCTAACTTGTAAGTCATTTTATTTAGATCACTTACTATATTGTAAATAAATCACCAACATGACCTATATCTATTACAAATCTGTGCAACTATATTATTTTATTATTTTTTAAAAATAAATATTCTGCAGAATTTGCTCCAAGATTTAAAACTATAATTATTCCTTCGTAACAATACCCTATGAATATTTATTTGCCCTAAAGTAATGCCCGTAACCTTCACTGTATTTTGATCCTATCAAGTGTGTAATTATAGGTTCGTCAAAATCATATATATGGTGCTTAAGAAGGACTCTTTATCAAAATGACCTCTCTCTTTGTTTTTTAAGTTTCTCAGGTACCAGATTATCTTGGATAACATCCATGAAACTCTGTGACAAATGTAATTTATATGAAGCTCAGTTTTGTTTTATTTAGTCAAATTCCAGTAAGTTGTGTACACACTATATACACTTGGCATGTGCATGCAATATGACCTGATGATTGAATATGTGAAAGAAACACAGACACACACCATTCTCTCCATTTTAGTAATACTGTCTGATTGCATGAAATTATGAATAGTTACAGAAAATATCATATCGCACATAATGACCTCAATATTGTAAACATAATATTCAAAAATCCTCCTATTTCTAGCTAAACTGCTCAGGATTAGACTGTATAAAGCCAAGACAATAGAGAGCTTCTAAGATTTCTGCTCGGTCAGTGGCAGACATGTAATCATAAGGTTTCGTGTAAGATATAGTCGCCCTGTTTGTCTTGTCAACCTTTCCTCTTTCCCTGATCATCTGGTAATGCCCTTGACTTATCTGAAGGAATGTGAAAATAACCTACAAAAATAAATTGAAAGCAGTTTTGGTTAATCAATCTTGAGCAAACTTTAAGAAGGGAGTGAAAATCCATCAATTCACTATAAATGATAAAAAATCTAATAATGACTCAAATCACTTGTTCAAATGTACATGTATACATTTTTTCTTATAAATTTAAATAAAAATGTTTTGAAACAACTCAGCATTTTTGGATAAAATATTCTTGGAGCATCTGTAATGGTTCCTTTTCCTAAAGAATGTTTATATAACATATATGACCTGGCCCTCTAATGAGAATGTATTTAAATATAAGAGTTATCATGTACTTAGTGGTTTATACACGAATTATCATATACGTAGTAGTTTATACATGAATTATCATATACTTAGTAGTTTATACACGAATTGTCATATACTTAGTAGTTTATACACGAATTGTCATATACTTAGAGTTTATACACGAATTATCATATACTTAGTAGTTTATAAACGAATTATCATTGTACTTAGTAGTTTATACACAAATTATCATATACTTAGTAGTTTATACACGAATTATCATATACTTAGTAGTTTATACACAAATTATCATATACTTAGTAGTTTATACACAAATTATCATATACTTAGTAGTTTATACACGAATTGTCATATACTTAGTAGTTTATACACGAATTATCATATACTTAGAGTTTATACACGAATTATCATATACTTAGTAATTTATACACAAATTATCATATACTTAGTAGTTTATACACGAATTGTCATATACTTAGAGTTTATACACAAATTATCATATACTTAGTAGTTTATACATGAATTATCATATACTTAGTAGTTTATACACAAATTATCATATACTTAGTAGTTTATACACGAATTATCATATACTTAGTAGTTTATACATGAATTGTCATATACTTAGAGTTTATACACGAATTATCATATACTTAGTAGTTTATACACAAATTGTCATATACTTAGTAATTTATACACGAATTATCATATACTTAGTAGTTTATACACGAATTGTCATATACTTAGAGTTTATACACAAATTATCATATACTTGGAGTTTATACACGAATTATCATATACTTAGAGTTTATACATGAATTATCATATACTTAGTAGTTTATACACAAATTATCATATACTTAGAGTTTATACACAAATTATCATATACTTAGTAGTTTATAAACGAATTATCATATACTTAGTAGTTTATACACGAATTATCATATACTTAGAGTTTATACATGAATTATCATATACTTAGAGTTTATACATGAATTATCATATACTTAGTAGTTTATACACGAATTATCATATACTTAGAGTTTATACACGAATTATCATATACTTAGAGTTTATACACAAATTATCATATACTTAGTAGTTTATACACAAATTATCATATACTTAGTAGTTTATACACTGATTCCGCAGTGTGTGATATGGTTGACTTCACAATACCTCATATCAACAACCTGTCCAAAAACCCATGTCATTAATCAGAAAGGCATGCAAAAATTCATATCAAACCAGATTAACATTTTAGAAAGTTTAAAATTTTATTAACTTGATTTATTGAAATAAACATGCAATACAAATCCCGTACTAAAATTTGTTGACTTAATTGACCTAAAATAGGCTGTATTAGATTTTTTGAGAAAAAGGCCATACTGCTTAAATGACTTTATGTAAACTTGCATATTAAATATTTTAAATCTAATGAAATAATAGAATACTACATATTAAACTCCATATCATACATGTCACATCAACCCTCAGGCCCAATATCAACCCTTGGGCTGGTATGACATATGATATGGATTTTAGTATGCAATATTCTCTATGCATTCATCTAAATATTCTTTGTAAAATTATTCTCAAAATTGCAATTTATTTTTTTCAGAAATTCATTGTTTGGTTGTTTACAAGTTAAAGAGTATCTCAAATTGACATTTATTTTGATGTGAATTTAAGAAAAAGCACAGTTTTCTTAACTGAATAATTCCTCAAAAATATTAGACCCTTGCTTCCCTTATTAAATGTGGTCAGAAACTTGTTAACAAGATATGATGGGTCATAATAATACACATATATGTAAATTATAGACATTGCAAATGCTCATACCCTTGGCTTTTTCAGAAGAGGACATAAAACACAAATATTAAGCTCTAGCTGGACTTACTTTTGTCCCTATACACAGAAGACCCACCACTCCTGCTGGGAAGAAAAATGAAGATTCTCTTTCTATCAACAGTTCAATTCCATGTTGACCTAACACTATCTTTGACAGATGTTCAAATGTGAATGTCTCTCCTTTAGCATAGTCTCCTATGAATGCATCATACTGCTGTACCTAAAATAACCAGTATATAAATGCATTGACAATTGAAACAAATAAATGACGTTAATAGGTCATAAAGGTCACAGAAGCATCATGCACCAACTTTTTTTTCTATATAAATGAAACCATAATTCAATCAATTTCATTATTTTGACATTATAATCATTAAGTTAAGTCACTATACACCAAACATCCTTGAACTGATATCTTAAATACCATGGATATATTGAAGTGATTTTGAAGTCCCAACCACTTACTCTTAAAGTATTTTACCCTCCATATCTTGAATCCTCGGATATCTCAAAGTTTTTTCTCAGTCCCATCGAGTTCGAGATAACGAGGTTTACTGTATAAAGTATCATTTACATACAATTTGTCAGTTTGAAACCATCTTCTACAATTAATTTTCATGACTAAGGAACCTCTTTACTTTAATACACTATTAAACAAATGATTCCTTGCTAGAAAAAATTCTATGGTCATTATAATGACCTTGTTAGCAAATACAACCTATCACAGGATATTGTATTTTGAGCGACATACATATATTTCATATATACCAATTAATATGCTACATGAGATTATAGCACATTCATGGCTGGTGATAAAAATCATTACAGAAGCAAGTGCCTGTGACAATTAAATTTAAACTCTCTTCACCTACAGATTAAAAGTCACTTTAAACTTGGTATTTCTTGATAATCTGATACAGCTACATGTACCACTTAGATATATATATATGTGATGCATATGTATATGTATTGCAATTGTACACCATAACATTATCACTAAACTAAATTGAGAAAACAATTAAAAAAAAAAGAAATACAGAAGGATGGACAAGCTAGAATGCCACCAAAGTAGCCTCTATGACAGGAAAATGTGAGGAAAAGCAAAACAGCTTTGTGCCTTCTAGCATGGAGGGAAGGAAACATATAACTAAATTGATCCATGAAATCACAATCTTCCTTTAAATGGGGGATGCTTTTGTGATTGATCTCTTGGTGTAACTAGAAAGTATATGTAGCTCTTCAGAAGAAAAAAGTGGAGCCATCAAGTGTTTTTTGTCAGACAAAACAATAAATATGCCAGTCATTTATTTCTTACCTTGGTAACTACAAGAAGTTCCGAATTTTTCTTTGAGGTAGATGTAGGAAAAGTCAAAAACCGAATATCTGGTGAGCCCTGGACCATGGTGTCCTTGATTTGTATTATCTCACAGAGAGTCTTTCCTGGCCTACCAAAATGAAAATTAAAATGGAAAAAGCTAAGTTACTGGACTTTAATGATTATCTGAATAGGATTAAAAACATTACCTGTACAAATATAAATGAGTATACATTCCTAAAGATTTTCTTACAGGTTCTTTTTCATAACAACAATGTAACAATCTGCAAGAAAAACAATTTGGCTTGAAGTACTCCAATATTTAACAATGGTTGCTGATTACATTCAAAATTTTCAAAACTTATAATACCTTTTCAAGACCTATAATAAACATTTTCGAACAATTTTTTTTTCTTATACCAAAAAAAAAAAACAAACAAAACAAAAAAAACAACAACAACAACAACAAAAACCATGGAATTTTTAATTGTTAAAAAAAATAAAACTTTCAAACTGCAATAATATTCTTAACTAGAAATATGTCCATAGGACATGAATGCCCCACCGAGGGTATATTAGTAATGCAACATGAAAATTTGTCTTAGTGTATGAAATTTGATGAGAATATCTTGAATAGTTACTTTAAAATTGAAATCTAAAAAGTTGGATATAGATGATAAATTCTCACAAAATTATGTACAAGTGCATAAGCTTACATAAATACATCTTAAATGGTTTCTTTAAAACTAAGCAATATGCAAATTTAAGAAAAGTGAGGTCAAGGTCACAGGGAAGTTCAAGGTCAAACATTTTTGATGCAGTTGAATAGATCTCACAAATACATATCAGCATATTAAGTTTAATAAAAATATTTTGAATGGTTTATTTAAAACTGATCTAAACACTAATTTTACATAAATGAAGTTAAGGTCAAGGGAAAGGTCAAGGTCAAAGAATGTTGATGCAGTTGAAAAGCTTACATCAGTATGTATTAGCATATGAAGTTTAATAAAAATATTATGAATAGTTTCAATAAAACTGAGTTTAACACTAATTGATAAAAGTGAGGTCAAGGTCAAATGAAAGGCCAAGGTCAAAAATGTTGATGCAGTTGAATTGCTTACATCAGTATGTATCAGCATATGAAGTTTGACACTAATTCAAGAAAAGTGAGGTCAAGGTCAAAGGAAAGGGCAAGGTCAAAAAATGTTGCTGTAGTTGAATACCTCTCATCAGTATGTATCAGCATATGAAGTTTGATAAAAATATCTTGAATGGTTTCTTAAAAACTGAGCTAAACACCAATTTAAGGAAAGTGAGGTCAAGGTCAAAGGAAAGGTCAAGGTAAAAAAAAAATGTTGATGCAGTTGAAAAGCTTTCATCAGTATGTATCAGCATATGAAGTTTGATAAGAATATCTTGAATGGTTTCTTAAAAACTGAGCTTAACACTAATTTAAGAAAAGTGAGGAGGGAGGTCAAGGTCAAAGGAAAGGTCAAGGTCAAAAAATGTTGATGCAGTTGAATAGCTCTTATCAGTATGTATCAGCATATGAAGTTTGATGAAAATATCTTGAATGGTTTCTTTAAAACTGAGCTAAACACTAATTTAGGAAAAGTGAGGTCAAGGTCAAAAGAAAGGTCAAGGTCAAAAGATGTTGATGCAGTTGCATAGCTCTCATCAATATCTATCAGCATATGAAGTTTGATGAAAATATCTTGGATAGTTTTTTGAAACTGAGCTTTGAACTGGGCTAAACACAAAGCGAGATGAGAGGACAGAAGACGGACATGACAAAGACTATATGCCCCGGCCATATTCATTGCGGGGCATGAAAAAATTATTTTTAAAATAACAAGTTCATGAGCAATAAAAAAGTGTCTGCAGTCTGTATATGTGCCTTGCATAAATTATAAAGCCTATGCAAGACATATAAACAGCAGATACACTTTGATTGCATAACTTCCCATCAGCCATGATCAATGCTGGGTGGGCTTAAAATTTTAGCAAAAATATAATGCTGTTTTAGATGAATGTTCATTCATATTAAAATCTATGTGTAACGTATACCTGTATGACAACATACATATACTTACTCAGGATAAAGAAAGCAGATTTTTGAGAAAGCCATTAAGAGGTTGGTAAATCTTTCCTTTCCCTGATATGGTTTGCCCCATCTTGTTAGAAGCATGGAAAAATATCTCAAGAATTCTAAAACATTCATCCTCCATACTGAATATACTTGTAAACTGTGAAGAAAACAAGAGGCTCATCACATGGAATACAGTGCTTACCTGTGATATATATACTGATCATATCCAGGTAACCAAGATATTTATCATCTTCAAAACTTTCTTTACAATACAATTTGCAGTTTTGCATGATGTAAGAAGGGTTTGAACTTTCACCACCAACAGCAGGAACACTTTCAATAAAGGTTCAAGAAACAGCATCATTTGACATACTTCAATCAACTTGATCTTTTTACAACATACTGTATGTGTACATAAATTGGCACATTCAAAATTTAGCGCAATCACTGGGTATGAAGTTGTTGGTGAAATCATGAATTAGCGCTATACATGTCTGTGCCATATATTGTATTTATAAATGGTTTCTTAGCGGTATTCATGAATTAGCGCACCATTGTCTGCGCCAAAGCCGCTAAAATATGAAGCCCGCTTTTTTAAGTACACGAACAGTATTTTTTTGTATCTGAGTACATACATGTATCTGCAACTGTCGTTAATCAACCCATAAAAGCCTTCTTCTACTATATATTACCTTTTCCAATCTTCTTGCTCCATCTTTTTCAAACTTTCAACAATACTGTGGTTTTCTTCTTCAAATACTTCGATAGCTTCCATGGTCTGCTGTAGAGATTCTCTAACTCCACTCCCTGTCAATGATTTCTCTGCACTCTCAAAATCAAATGAAAATTTCCACCAATCTTTTGTTAATTGTATCAACTTTTTCTTTATTCCTGGAATTTCTATGTCACTACACATTAATTTGGGTTTGGGAATGCCCTCTTTCAACATGGACATAAATGTCTGAAGCTCTGTGGCAGTTTCATCATAATAAATACCCAGATCTAAGAGATGACTCATTTTCCAGTCTGATGCTTTTGTTGGAAATATTTTATCATGTTTTATAAGTTTAAAGTAATCTGAAGACTCTGTTCCAGAGGAACCTTCATCAGCTGAGGAAAAGGTACCTTCCATGATACTGCTGTTCTTTCTCTTTGCCATAATGCCACCTTCCTGCAGGTATCACCATGAGGATTTTACCAGTGTATAAATTTGTAATCATATCATTTTCATGTCATACTATCGAGACCAAAGAAGATCGGACAGCCTTAATTTAAGTTAAACCTGTTGCTACTTTACATTACTCCTGAAAAATTTTTTTCAAAAATGAGTAATTGAAAGAAGAATTTTTTTTGTTAAATAAGATGATACATGATGTATGTTATTAATTCCCTACATGTTACTATATATTTTAAAAAAAAATTATATAGATGTAGTGCATACAATTAAAAAAACGAAAAGTTCAATTCTGTTGAGAAACACAATAAAGTCTTGGTCACAGGTGCTTGGGGATCAAAGCGTCAAAACTCTGCTCGTCGAGTGGAAAAGTCCAGAGAACAAAATTAAAAAATGAGTGGGTTTAAAAATTCAATTCCAGTGTTTAAATATTGCATGAGTAAATAGAACTTGTTTACGTCTGATTTTCCCTAAAACATTACGATGTTTATCCGATGTAATTTTAGAAACAGATTTTTAGCCAATCAAATTCTCTGTGCGGGATTAGCACATACCATTTCATGGTTGAATTCGACTTTTCCACTCGACGAGCAGAGTTTTGACGCTGTTTACGGAGACTAAAGAAAATAAAGACAAGCATGCCATATATGGTTGTGTAGATAAATTATCGTAGAAAACATAGGTATAAACAGTTTGTCAGTGTATTTCCTCTGAAAGTGTAAATGAGTGCGATTCTGGGGGAGGGGGGTACTCCGTGTAATTCGGAGTTAGATACCTTGTGTTATTATTATACTATATGGGTTAAAAATTTATTACCGAAACAAGTGCCTGTGTACAAGTACCTGACACCTGTAGCGTCACGTTAGCCTCAGTCAAGAGTGGATGGAGGTACATGTAATACGTCCTACGGTGTTAAAACTTTCGTTTGAAGCGAAGATGTACGATTTCGATGGTCAATAGACAATGCAACTTCACGTATCTATCAACTTTCTCCTGAATAGTTTCATATCAAATGAGTCTGTTCAAAACGACAACAATTTGAAAATGAAAGTAGCTGTCGTCTTTTTACAAATGCTAAAACCGAGAAGGTCATCAATTTCCGATATGCGATTCGTACAATATTTTTTTCGTTACATATTTTTTACTTATTAAAGTATTATTAATTGGGAAGGTGGCCACTTTCATATTTGGGCGACCTTTCTATGAAAATTTGCATTAAAAATTGTGTCAGAGAAAAGAAAAAAAGTGGAACCCCCCCCCCCCCATTCCCCTCAGAGAAATGGACAGGCGTTCGCCTATATCCACGGTTAAAGATTCTGACACTTTCAGATGAGAAATACCATGTTAAAAAAGTACCACCTACATTGTATATATACATAACCTCTACTTTAAGTATATAGGTGTGGTAGGTAAAGGTATTTCTTGTCTGAAAGTGTCAGAATTGATCAACTGCAACCTCTTGGGTGAGTTAGAATAATCTAACTGTGTCTCGGGACAGGCCCTCACCGGGTCCGTAGGACATTTATCATTTTAAAGATTCTAACATTCTATCTAGGGTGTGTGCTACGTCGCGTTACTCAATTTGTTTGCAGACACTGTTGCAGTTATGAGTACATCTTTCTAACAAGAGGCCCAAGGGCCTTTACGGTCACCTGAGTATAGTACAACATTTTAGAGGATCCATAGAGTATAAAATAAACTGATAGATGAATTAAGCTTTGTTGCCCAAAAGCAAGAGAAATGGGATTATCAGGATCAACGAAATAATTACTCTATCCCTCTTTTATCACTATCACCATGCAGACTATTAACAAAAATAACATTGCTTTTGTACTGTCTATTTTTTCAACTCCGTATCTAATCTCTCACATTGGTCTCTCTTGCAATTGGTCTTTGAAGAACAATTTTAAAAAGTTAAATTCTTTTTGTTTTATTTTTATTTATCTATTATTCACAATTCTACCCGATCATTAAAACTGTAAAAGTACCTTTTGTATTATACAATAAAAAATCTTGCATAATTTACTTATTCTATTTACTTTTCAAATGATTTTTTTTTTTTACAGTGATTCATTATCAAAAGTGTATGGCAAAAAGGAATAACTTCTCTCAGTAGAACACAAATCAAAATGTCCCTGGCTAGGACCATAACACTTGACCAAATGGTCCAGTTGTTCAAAACTGTGGTAAAAATATCCTCGCTTATTAAAAATTTTACACCGTTTACCTCCGATATGCCCAGGAGCAGAGAAGATTTTCAAAGAAATAAATAAATGCATTTTCACAACAGGTTCAACGCAGCCCTACCTAAATACCAGAGCCCATGACTCAGGGTCATGAAATTTACAAATTTTGAAGAGGTACCCTCATCATCATAACTATGCACTTACACATGTAGTTAAAGATTTTCAAAGAATTAGCACATTTTCTCTATACATGTATTATCAAAAGACCCCTCCCCCCCCCCCCACCACCACCACCAAAAAAAAAAAAACAACAACACCAGAACCCCTGACCCTGGGACTACAAGTTTTAATTTTGTAAGAAGCACCCTTACTCACCATAACTATGCACTTTGTGTATCTGCTCAACACCAAGGAGCAGACAGGATTATTTAATAGAATCAATGCATTTTCACTATATTATCGATGGACTTCTGCGAGAAGCGCTGACTTTTACAATCGACGGCTTACTTTTACACTGGGACAATATACGGCAGCTCTTTTGCGATATAAATGTTTAGCTTAACTATTAATTAAACCATAATAATTCAAAGTATATATAACGTTGTCTACGGAGGGGAAGGAGATAACACCCTATACTAACCCCCTCCTTTCCCATTTGACCAACTACTACCAAGTTTTCATTCCGGATTTTTTTTATCCTTATTTGATTCCTTCATAAATTGAGATTGAAAGGAAATACTATCCCTCACGAACAAGGTATTTTAAGTTAATATGTTATTCTACCTCCCATCATCTCTTGTGTTGATTTCATACAAATAAATTATGTAAGTGCCTCTCACACCATACCTATGACTTCTAGTGAGGTTTTCTAATCTAATATCAATTCCGAACCTCCGTACATAACACATGTTTAAATACATGTCAAAGTAAGCTGTCGAGTGTGAAAGTCAGTGCTTCTCGCAAAAGTCCATGAGTATCCCAGCTTTAAACCAGAACACCCGACTCAGGGGCCATTAATGAAACTCACAATTCTGGAAGAAGCACTCTTGCTCATCATACAATGTAACTATACATGTAGTTTCTTTGCTTTATACCCAGTAGCAGAGATAAATATTTTCAAAGAAATTATGCTTTTTCAATATATAATCAACAGACCCCGTTTTCGCCAGAACCCCCGACCCTGGGGCCTATATACATGTATATGTGGTATGCTTTTAAAAACAAACAAACATGATATTTCTTGTAGGAAGGTGTCAGAATCTTTATTGTAACAACTTTTTAAGTGTGTTTAAAGCAGATTCAAAATTTTATTAATTTATTTTACTTTTAACAATTCGGAAGACAAGTTCCTATGAGTACATGTACATATACGTCATAAATAGGTTACAGTGTAAGAAACACTATTATATATCCCTGTTGAAATAAACGTTATGCTTTATTTCAAAACCTTACATCTGAATTCAAAAGGTATTCTCTCTCTCTACATATATTTTTATGTAGCTGGCTCAAAAGTAAAGGTGCACGAAAAGTAACTCGTGTATATTTCTCATTAAACAACCCATAAAAGCAATCAGAGACATATCTCTTATATGTCTCTGAAGCAATACACAAGCTGTTGGGAGCGACTAGCGGAAGACAACTCTGGATAGAGAATGCTCCAACAATATCAGAGAAAAAATGTAACAGGCGGTCGGAGACATCATTAGAATTAACTATGGGCATTTTTTTGTTTTCAGAAACCCTTTAATAGTACCAAAATTGTTTATGTTCCTAGTAATTGTTGTAGCCTGAGAGTTACATCCCTGCAGACCATAGCTATAAAGTTGACCAGCCAAAAATACTGTTTGACTTAACATTTTATTCCAAGTAAAATTGCAAAGCGCATTAATTTGTCACTTTGTATTTATTATATATCTTACATGGAAAATTGTTAAGTCAAACAGTTATTTTGTCAACTTTTTAACTATGGGTTGCTAGAGGTGAAACTCACTGCCACAAGTCAACAATTAGGAACATATTTTGGACACTCTTCAGTCAATCTACGATTAAAGGACCAATTCAGGGTATAAAACATGAAAAAATTAAAAATTTCGTTACGGAAGTTAATCGTTACTGGAGTTAATTTCCAGCAGTAAAAGTTGAAATTCTCGGTAATAGTTAAAATTAAAGTTTGTTTTTAAATGTTAAACAAAATTATGAAGCATTTCGCTCCCAAAATAATAAAAATGTTTATATCTTTAATGCAGAAACATTCCTGAATTACTGTTACGGATGTTAATTTTTTAAGAGAGACAACAGTTTTTGTCTAATTCATTTTGTTTTGTCGAAAATGTATCATTGGTCTAAAGTAACAGAGTCGCAACTAGAATCGATGATATTCAATTCCATGGTCACTTTCAGATAACTTTCAGTTCTTTTTGAAATCTGCATTCTGTGCGTTTAATTTCAAACAAAATCGTTACGGAAATTAATTGATTATCAGCGACATGCATTGATTTCGTATGAAAGAAGAGTCATGCATTTCTTTGCGAGAAGTTGTTTATTTTCTTTTTATATAGGAAAATTTTTTTTTTTGAGCAAATCACAAAATTTTACCAAATAAATGACATAAAAACTTACGACTTTTCAACTCTGTATACAACCATTTCCCACGATAAATTAAAGTCCAGGCTTTTTCACTTCATTGACAACTGCTTTTTCAATAAAAATGGAACTCGTAAATTTATTTACCTTGTCAATGGTCAATTGCAAAATTATTAATTGTTAAATAACACTCTGGTTTTACACACAAGTACTCTGAAGTTGATATTAAAAAGATGCTTGAATTTCTGATTGACAATATCTTTTTTTTTTTTGGAGACCAGGTCTTCCAACAATCTATTGGAATTCCCTTGGGTACCAATTGCGCTCCGTTGTTAGAAGACCTATTTTTGTATTCATATGAGGCAGAATTTATTCAAAATCTTACACATGAGACAAAGAAATCTCTTGCTGTGGCCTTCAACTCGACATTTAGATATATCGACGACATATTATCAATTAACAAATGAACTGTAATTTCCATTTATATGTTGACACGATATATCCCAGTGAGCTTGAAATAAAAGATACCACAGAGTCTGACACATCTGTTTCATATTTGGATATTTTACTAGAAAAAGGCAATGGTAATCTAACAACAAAGCTTTATGATAAACGTGATGACTTCAACTTTTCAATCGTCAACTTCCATTACTTATGCAGCAACATACCCTTATCACCTGCATATGGGGTGTATATCTCTCAGTTGATTAGATACACAAGAGCATGCTCTACGTATGAACAATTTCTCAAACGATGTAAGTTATTGACAAACAAGTTGATGAAACAAGAATATCAATAGTCTCGTTTAAAGTAGTCATTTCGTACATGTAAGTTCTATGGTCGATACAATGACATTGTCAGCAAATACAATCTATCATTAAGTCATATGCTGACTGAAGTTTTTCATACTAATTGTTAGGCCACTATTTACACACTGAATTGTCGACGGATTTTTCCGTTAATTACCAATCATGACAAGGAGCACAAGGTGGGTGCGACCGGTCAGTAGGGGGATGTTCAATCCTCCATGGCACCTGATCCTACCTCTGATGTTTTTGGAGGTCCACAATTGCTCTGCTCCCGATTTGTGTTGTTTTAATGGACGTTGAGCTTGAATACCGTTCGTTATCTCCATATTTCATAGCAATCTATTCGGAACGCTTAATATACGACTGAAAATTTCATCTTGAAATTTGTAAATGAATGAAGCGACATTAAGATTTGCAGTGGAA